GATTCACGCAAGCCTGTGCAAAAGGGATGTGGAATTTTTGACCATTGACCCAAGGCTTCGGGGCTGATGGCCTCTAGGACATACGGAAAAAGCAAGGGTTTCTGAATGGTAGGAACAGCTGGGTGGTCAAATGGTTGAGGAACTCTTGAAGTGCCGGCCACCGGAAATCCCCGCCATAGCTTTACAAGGCAATGTTATAGGTACCCTAAACTCTAAAATTTTCAACCCTGAGCCTCGTGAAAGGCAATGTTTGCGCACTTCCTTAGGCATAGCGTTGAAGTCTTGGTGGGTAGTCGTAATAAAAAAACCGGAAAACAAACAAACAACAAAGCCATACAGACACAACGCCTTAACCCCAAGCTGCAGAGAACACCTGAGCGGCAAAAGCCATAACCTCAAAGTAAAAAAAATCCAAAAACATTTTCGTCATGTAGGGTTTGGGGTTTGACGGTTCAGAGTTTGAGGTGGAGGGTGGGGCTTGGGGTTTAGAGTTCGGTGTTTTGTGTTTGGGTTTAGGGTGTAGGGTTTAGGGTTTAGGATTTAGGGTTCAGGATTTACAAGCCATCGCTGAGCCCTGTCAAGGCGTGGCTGCCCGACTGGAGACCGACATTGCAAACGTCTACATGCTTTTCGGTTGCATCATGTTGGCCACGTGGAAGGCTTCGCTCAGGCAAATAATGTAGGGGGCGAAATAATTATCAATACTATTTTGGGGGTTCCTTGGTAGATGTGTATATATATATATATATGTATATATATATATATGGGTTAATATACCCCAAAACCCTATATTTCTTGTTATGAAGGGCCCTGCATTAGCGTTCCAGCACAGTGCAGAAAGCGCGATGCCTGGCCGGCCAAGGCAAGCAGCGTGGTGTAGAATTGAACCGGTAGCTGTTCCACCAACCCGGGAGCATTTTTTGTCCTGGCCAACTTTCAAAGGGGGAACGGAAAGCTGCCTTACCCAATCGCCAAGGTATATTCCCGTGAAGAGATATATGGGGGCTTTGATTGGGCTCGTCGAAAATCAGAAGCTCTGTCACAATCCGAAAGGTTCATGTCCACCGCGCTTGGATACCTCGTCTCAAGCGTTGGCAGCCTGGCTGAATTGGCATGACATGCCCTTCTTACGTAGTTTTGTTGGACATCGTCAGTTCCGTCGGTTGAAGCTGGCATGACCGCAACTCTCGGCGAGACTGGGAGGTCGTGTGCTGTCTTTGAAGTTGGGTCTGTCACAGTGCCCCCACCCCTTCCAGAGCCATTTGGGTAGCCTCACAAAAGGACGTCGAAAGGCAGGGCATCGCCTATATTTTGGGACTTGTCAACGCCATGGCGTGCGTCTTCCCCGCGAACCAGGTGATCGTGGTCGGTGGAGGCCTTGCTGGCATGTCTGCCGCGAACACGGTGATCGAGTTGGGTGGCCGAAGTTTGCTGCTGGACAAGTCCTCCTTCTGCGGCGGCAACAGCACGAAGGCCACTAGTGGCATCAACGGTGCTGGCACGAAGACGCAGAAGGGCAAGTCCATCCCGGACAACGCCGAAGCTTAGCTTTGCAAGCTCAACTTTTCAACTTTTGGGGGTATACACAAACAATGGTAGTCTTATTTTGCAAGTTTGAACGTTTTATGCCATGGATACATGGGAAGTAAGGAAATCTTCATCGCGGACACCCTGAAGGGTGGCGCCAAGAAGCCGGAGCTCGCCAAGGTCTTGTGTGCCAACAGCGCCGCGGATGTGGATTGGCTCGTGGACAAGTTTGACTTGGATTTGTCCCTGGTCGCCCGACTCGGCGGCCACTCTCAGCCCAGGACGCACCGCGGGAAGGAGCGATTCCCTGGTATGACTATCACCTATGCACTGATCCAAATGCTGGAGAAAGTGGCGGAGAAGACCAACCGCGCCCGCATTATCACAAAGGCTGAGGTCTACAAGCTGCTCCAGAATGGCTCGGCCGTCGTAGGTTGTGAGTACAAGAAGGCCGGCAAGGTCGTCAAAGAGTTCGGGCCCATGATCCTCGCATCCGGCGGCTTCGGCGCGGACTTTGGCGCAGATTCGCTGCTGGCCACCTACCGGCCGGATCTCCTTCATCTTCCGACCACCAATGGCGAGCACTGCACCGGTGATGCCATCAAGATGGGCGAGGCCATCGGCGCTGCAACCATCGACTTGGAGTGGGTTCAGGTGCACCCGACTGGTCTCGTGAAGCCGGATGACCCCGATGCCAAAGTCAAGTTCCTGGCGGCAGAGGCCCTGCGTGGTGTGGGCGGCATCGTTTTGGATGCGAATGGCGACCGCTTTTGCAACGAGTTGGGCCGCCGCGACTACGTGACGGGCGAGATGTGGAAGAACAAGCCGCCCTTCCGCCTCTGCCTGAACCGGGCGGCGGCTGACGAGATCATCTGGCATGCGAAGCACTACACCGGCCGTGGCGTCATGAAGTTCTACGCGACAGGTGAGGACCTGGCCAAGGACATGGGCGTCCCCTTGCAGAAGCTCGTCGATGCACACCAGAAGCACTTCGAAGCTGCCAAGAAGCAGGAGAAGGAGCCCGTCTCGCTGTAGTCTCGTTGTCGCCGTCTTCGTTGTCTAGATTTCTTTCTGGTATGTTTCTTTCCTTGTTGTGTTTGGGCTGTACGCTTTATACAGTTCAAACAAACAGAGTACCACATGTATAACCTCGTCAGGACCCCGAGAACGGCCCATTCCCGGCCTACCCATCCGGCAAGACTTGGGACGAGCCCAGCGGCAAGACCGGCAGCGGAAAGAAGTTCTTCCACAACATCATCGACGGCTCCAAGGTGCCGACCGAGCCATTCTACGTGGCCATCATCACCCCGGTGATCCACTACTGTGGCTTGCTTGGTGATGAAGTGTGGGGGCTAGTGTAAACTTGGTGGCTTAATGCATGCGTGCATGCATGCATGCATGCGTACAGTTTTAGAATAAGTGCAAGACTAGCAAGCGACGGAAGCTGCCGCGTTTTCCTGCCATGAAGCTCACGAGGCATGGGGGGCTTGGAGTGCACCGTCGACGCCGAGTGCATCGACAAGAAGACCGGCAAGCCCATCCCTGGCCTCTACGTGGCAGGGGAGGCAGCAGGCGGCATCCACGGCAACAACCGCCTGGGAGGGAACTCTCTCTTAGACTGCGTGGTCTTCGGCCGCGTGGCCGGCAAGGCTGCCTGCAAGTTCACCTTCGGTGCCGGCGAGAAGTTCAAGCCCTGCCCGGTCCCCAAAGAGCTCAAGGAGCTCTCTAAGTGAGACGGGGCGTGTCGTAGCGTCCGTAGGCCTTCGTCATAGTCCAGGTGCCTACGGCTTGTGGGGCCCAAGGGTGCCTTCCGGGCCTCTATTTTTAAGGGTCGGGCACCTGGCATGACAGAGGCGCAGCGAGAAGGAAGCCAGCATATGCATTTTCTGTATTGTCTCCCGCAATCATACGCATAGATACATACATCTATGAACGGATACAACGGCTTATATTGAGTAAACGAACACAAGAATGCATAAATGCATGAGTTCTTTTGTATATTCATGTATGTTTGTATGAACGGCATGCATGCATGCATGCATGCATGTATGTATGTATGTATGTATGTATGTATGTATGTATGTATGTATGTATATGTGTGTGTATGTATGTGTGTGGGTATATGTGTTTGTAAATGTATGTGTACGTGTATATATATGTAAAATGTATGTACATCTCTGTGTGTGTATGCCTGCATGTATGTATGTATGTATGTATGTATGTATGTATGTATGTATGTATGTACGTGTGTATGTATATGCATATGCATATGCATATGGATGTGTATATGTATATGTATATGTATATGTATATGTATATGTATATGTATATGTATATGTATGTATGTATGTATGTATGTATGTATGTACGCATGTACGTATGTATGTATATGTGTAGGTAGGCAGGTATGTATGTATGTATGTATGTATGTATGTATGTATTTATGTATGTATGTATGTGTATATATAGGTTTATACATACACGCACATGTACATCATGCAAACGAACGCACACATAGACACACAGTTAATATGTAGATATGTATATATGCATGTGTATATCATATACCTTATATACACACGCTTCGTACGTGTGCTCTTTCTTTATGCGCTTCGTCTACCATTGTCCATGCTGGTCACTGCAGGTGTAAGCTGCATACCGTTCCTATGGTGAGTTTCATCCCAGGCTTCCCACATCGCGAGAGCTAGACGTCGCTAGCTGTTCCCGTTTGGATTATGCCAAGCTGCACCGTCCGCGGCAAAATCATGAGGCCCAGCGTGATGCTCCTACTGTCTTGGAAATCCCGTGGGCCTGTGACCTGTGATCCGGCTATATAAGCCCTCTAAACAAAGGAAGTGCTCTCCGTCTCAAGCACAAGGAAAGAAAACGAGACGAAAGTCCCGAACCCAAAGGCCTGAGCCTGAGGTGTAAAAGCCGCACGTATCCCTAATCTCAACTCTACACCCGACACCGAAAGCCCTAAACGCTGATCCTTCATGCAAGGTTGAATCTTCGCTTTGCGGGACTATAGAGTCATTCATGCCCCAATCTTGATGGATGGATAGCAGATTCCCTCCCCGAGGCCAGTTCGTCGCCGGCTTGTCGTTGGCCCGGGCCTCAATGAGAGCCTGTTAAGGGTTTAATGGCTAGACCGGGCTGCTGGACAACGAGACCTGTTGCAAAAAAGGGTTTGGGGTTGCAATCGGTCAATGGTGTAGGGCAGTTCGTAGTTCAGTGCGAACGACACGCCGTCGCTGAGACCACGCGAAGAATGCAAAGGCTCCGACGGCAAAATCCTAGTCAAGACGGCCATTGTGTCCATTGGCGATCTGACAAATCCTGAACCCTTAAACCCAAAGTGCCAAAAAAAGAGGCCTCGCCTGCAGCGTCCGAGTGTGAGTGCCAAACCCAAAACCCAAAACCCTACGCCCGAAGACTGTCTGGTGCTTAGTAGGGAAGAAAAAAATGGGTTATAGGGACTACTATAAGGGACCTTAAGGGACTAGGAATCCATTCCCCCATTCCCTACTAAGCACCAGAGAAGAACGGCAGGCCTTCGTCACGGGATGGCAGCTGGCTCTCGTTGTGTGCCTCGCTTGAAGGGGTTTAAGGTTTACCTGGGTAGTTATCAAAATGATGGTCCCTTTTGGGGTATCCTAAATAATAGGTGCCCTATTATAATAAGGACCCAAAAAGGGACCATAATTTTGACAACCACCCACCTGGACCCTGAAGAACCTACCTTTTTAGGTTTCCTTAATATGATTTCCCTATACAAGTCCTTAAATGGTAGGTTATTTGGGGTTAAGGTAGGGTTTAGGGTAATTCTTCTTTGTGGTCCAACCAACTTTATTGTCATCACGTTCCTGTAATAGTTATTGCCCACAAAAAGACATACTTACAATGGAGACCAAAGGTAGGTTCGTTTCATGGCGCGGCGTTGCTGGCTGGGCTTGGGTGGATAATATAGAATCCTCAAAGATCACCAACTTATTCCAGAGGGCTCCTTACTATAATTATGCAGCAGTTTTGCCATATATACCCTCGAGACTAAACCCTAAACCGATATGTATATATATATATATATATATGTACATACCCCAAGACCCGACTCTAATGGGTCAGGCCCTGTAGTATTGGTATCTCCCAACGCTCTCAAAACTCAGAACCTCGAACTGCAGACTCTGCTATCTGATAACGAGCACCAGATTTTCCACTCTGAATTGTACGCCGGTATGCAGTTTATCTTATCGAGATTTGCGGGCCCGACCATTCAACGACCAGCATTACGCCCTACATAGTCCATGCAGTAGTTGCCTTAGTCTTTGTCGCCCACTATTGTACATATGACATAAACTAGCCAGTGAGACGGGCACTGGATTGCTGACGGTACGAAACAAGTTCTGGATATCTGAGTATCTACACGCATATACAGGAATCGGCACCAACAGCTCTGGCTTAGGCTGCAAAATTCCACCAACAGCCTGCGCCCCCAAGTGTTTTGGTATGTTTTGGTCTCTACAACTGGGACCGAACCCAAACCATAGCTGCCATAGCTGTAATTGTTATTCGGAATTCAGTTTACTAGAGGTATGGTTGCATGTCCCACATGTCCCACCCGACATCCAAGAGAAGACTCCGATGGGGAAAGGTGCGCCACAATTCCGCTGCTGGTGTGTACGGGCCACCGTATGGGCAAGGCATGGATGACCCGCCTTGTTGATGTCCGACATTTTTTTAATTAAAAACAGACCATGGTAGCGCACAGCTCTTCGGGGGTGGGGCTATGGCAAGCCTGCCTCTGAAAAGCCTACATTCGCACTTCCATAAGCCTTTCAAAGCTGTTCATTTTGAGGAGCACAGGAGCGCGAGCAACCAACAAGCAACAAGTATTTGCCACACTGTGATATTGCTATCAAAATGTGTTTCAGGATGCTACAACAACCCTCACCTATGGTTACTATCAATACCAGAAAACCCTACGTTTGCTCGCATAGGCCTCAACGAAGCCTTCGAACCAACGTGAGACCTTCTGAACGACCTCGTTAAGAAGAGCCGTGCAACCTTGCAGAAGCTCCTGTAGTCAGACTGCGAAACGTGAGACCTCGTCTGGCTTGTTCGAGTTGCGAGAGGGTAAACCAAAAGGCTTGCAGACGATCCTTAAGAAGAGGCGTGTATCCGTAATGAACCTTAAAAACCATAAGCCCCCTACACCGTAAGCCTTAAAAGGCTAAGCCAACTCGTCACTAGTCGTACTTGGTGACACGTGCCAAGTTTGATCTGAGTAAGTCGTTGGACCAGTATCATTACAGACCTTGCCAGGCTTGTCCGAGTGTGAGTGTCAAAAAACGCCTAAGCCTTACCTATAGTCTCCATTGTAGTTCCTTTTGGGGGATACCTTATAAAATCCTTAATATATAATTGGTTAAACCAAAAAAAGGAACTACAATGGAGACTATAGGTAAGCCTTGACAGGCGATCGAGGAGCAGTTTTATGCCCAGCAAGCTGATTTCGCTCGAGCGCACCTCGATTCGGGTTGAGGAAGTTGTGATGGGTTTCGACCCTAAACCCTAAACCCTAAACCCTAAAACCCTAAACCCTAAACCCTAAACCCCTAAACCCCTAAATCCCTAAACCCTAAACCCCTAAACCCTAAACCTATTTCCCCAAGCATCCGGAGCTTGGCCTGGCAAAACCAAAAGCTTCCGACGAAGGAGCCGGTATTTCAACGTTCGCTATAATATAGGGGCCATAAGAGTTGCCTATACTATTTGCGGAGTTCCTTCTTATAAGTCTAGTATCATATATCCCAAAACCCTACTCTACTTGCAAAGGCCCCCTACATAGGGCTCAGGGTCTTCTGCAGGGTTTCGGACGTTCTGGTCCAGGGCAGTGCTTGATCCAGCGATCCCCCCAATACCCTTCATTAAGGAATATACCTAATGTAGGGGCCGTAATAATTAGAATAGGGTATAGGGGTTCCTGATTATAATAATAGTATGAGATGCCCCAAACCCTATTCTAATTATTAAGGTCCCTACACGTGTAGTTATGACAGCCCTTGGTATGATGATTTAAGATGTATCCCTCAACTACCATTGGGCTCTGTGGGAAACAATGCCAAGTTGCAGCTATCCTATCCATCTTGCCGGGCTGATACTTGCAACGGGCTTTAGAAGCGTAGTTTTCGGCGATCAAGAATCCCCACATCGGTCTGCATAGTTCATACTGTGTACCCCGTAACCGTGCACCCTGGCACCTTTTCTGTCCCTAGATTTTGCTGGAGTTGTTGTCCCTGCCAGTTTTTCAGTCCCTGCATTTGCTCTTGCTGTTGTTGTCTTCATTGCCCCTGCGGCAGTTGACTTTGTCTTTGTACGGCATGACATGATGGCGATGACGATGATGGTAGGCCGCCATGATCACGAAAGTGCCTTGCAGGGCAGCAACAGCTTTCTCTGTTGCCGCCTCCGCCCCTACTATTGATGCTAATGTTCTTGCTACTGCTGCTAGGTGGCAAGGCTAACGGAAGACCAGTGCTAGGGGCATGACTCTTGCTGCCGCTGTCTCACTGCTGCTACTGATACCGCATTCAGTGCTACAACCTTCCACTGCGACCTACACCTACACTGCTGCTTGACCTCTACCGCCACTGCTACTGCAAAAACCACCACCACCACCACCACCAATTCTATGTCCATCGATTTCAGGTCCGCTGTTGCAGAGGAGTCGTTGCAGCTCGGCCGCATGTGCGCAAATGCGCCGACTGTGCAGATGTCGGAATCGTTTGTTATGGTTTAGCCAAACACTCGAGCCTCCGTGTCATGGACAGGACAACCGCTAAAATGCTGGTACGTTGCACATGTGTTGCTTCAATTTTGCCATTCTACGGACCTGCGCAAAGGCGACAGTGGAGCGACTTGCGGACTACCATGACGTTGCTTCAATTCTTTTCAATACTTCCATCACCCGACTTCATCCTAGCAAACTGTCCTGTTTGGAGTCCCAGCCTGCGATGTCCCAAGTCCTGCCACCCCGATTCGCTCTGAGCCTGAAAGCTGGTTCCTCCTCAACAGTCGAATTTGCATCCTCCTTTTAAGGATGGCGATCCGCACAGTCGCTGCTTTCGGCGCTGAGGGTGCCGAGTCGGCACGTTTTGAGAAGGAGCCGGAAGCTTCGCCATTGCAGTCGCAGGGATGTAGACTCCAGAACCTTGAACCCCAAAGCCCCAAATTCTAAATTCTACACCTGTAAGTCTAAACCCTTTAAACACTAATCTGCTGGACGCTTCTTCAGTTCATTAGGTGTTTCAGCGTTTTGGGTTTTCAGATTTTCTGACGGGCAACGTGGGAAATCTCCGGCAACAGTTGTTCTCTTAAGCCCGTAAAATCCTGAAGTTTGACACTTGCCTGATGCCGGACCGTTCATCGAATTTAGACTAGTTCTCAATACCCGATGGAGTTCTGCGATCATCTACCCCATAGCCTTGTTGCACTGTTCTCTCACCAAAACTCCTAAACCCTGTGGGCAACAAACTTAGCACCGCGGTGAGAGGAGCTTCTGTCGGCGAAGATCGGCGGAATTCGATCCGGAGTGAAGTGCCTCGGTGCTGAAGCTTATAGTCTTATATTTGTATATATATATATATGTTTTTTTTGTTGGGGGGGGGGCGGGGTTTAGGGTCTTTGGGTGTTGAGGGTTTGGCGTGGCATGGGGTTTAGGCTTTGTTGAGGTGTTGGGTTTTTGTGGAAGTTCATTATTCTGAAGGGCCTGCTTGTGTTTGACATCTGATTTTTCTTGATGGAAGATCCTGCGTCGCTACGTTGCCAAACAACCACGAAACCCAAAGCCCTGTGGAAGAAAGGGGCCGAAATTATTACCAATGCTATGTTAGGGGGTTCCTCATTCTATTTATAGTATAATGGGCCCCAAAACCCCATTCCAATTATTGCAGGCCCTTATATATTTATACGCTCTATGGGCCCGAAAAAGTCTTCCCCGCCCTGTCCCCCAAACGCTAAGCCTCCAGAGGTAATCCTCCGGAAAGTTCGTTTAACAGTGAATGTGACAAACTGCGGGACCCAATCAAACCTTAGTAGGAATCTTCTTAAAAGGACACCTCAATCATGTACTCGCCCCCAACCCCCCCACCCCACCCCGTGCCGTCAGTTTCTGAAACCCTATAGCCTCCTTTGCTCCTCTGGGGCTTTGTAGTAGAGAGTAGAAAACTTCAACCTTTTTAGTACCACAATCCCATCAAGCCAACGGTCAGAAAGCCTGTAGTTCCTGTAGGATTGGCGGCGCCTGGGGCGGCCTCAACTTCTTCTACTCCTTGCTCTATGGCTTGGCTCTGTGGACACTCGGCTGGGGAGGTTTATGCTTTAGGTTTACTGCTTCAGGCCAGGGTTAGACTCTTGGGCTACGGGCTTAGGTCCGTTTCATGCGCAGGCAAGCAATGAAGGGCTTGGTATGCTAATTTTAAACCCAGACCCCACATCGAGTGCACAAAAGCTTACGCCAAGAAGCCTCATGGAACCTGGCGCGATCCTGAAGCGTCTGCAAAATCCCTGAGCCAGACAACAGCGGATTGCAGCCAGCCGCAATACTGACAGGAATGCTGGGACAAAAGCCCAGCACACGAAGTTGTGACAGCTCTGCCTTTCCAACTCTTTCCGGCACAGTGCCAGAAGGCTCAAAGCGGCTCTAAACCCTAAGCCCTAAACCCTGGTTGACACAGACCAGACATTACCCTGCAATGCGGGCTCGTCCTTGCTAAGTAGGAGGCAACAAAAACCCTAAACCCGAAACCCCTAAAGCCTCGAAGATCCCAGTGGTTCCCTAAACCCTATAAACCCTAAACCCTAAGCCCTAAACCCTGGGTTGACTTCTGAAATCCTGCGGAAGGTTTGGTGGCCACGTCCTCCTTTCGGACGAGAACTCGGGCTTTGCACCTTTGCTCAGCACTCACAGGTGTTGGGGCACGCTGTAATATGGGGGCCTCAATAATTACCAATACTAGTGTGGGGGTTCCTTATTATAAGTATAGTATAATGGGTCCCATAACCCTATTCCAAATATTATATGAGCACCAGCGACAGGCTTTCTGAGTTTTTGTTGACTGCGGCTCCTGTTTCGGAGCTTCGGGGCCAGGTCGGGCCACAAAGCCTTGAATGAAAACCTTCGGGCTTGTAACTACCCATAGGCCCCATAGTAGTTCCTTTTTGGAATTACTTTATAGGATTCTAAATATGAACCCAAAAGGAACTAGTATGGGGCCTATGGGTGGTTACCGCGAGTCTGCCCGGTTTGGGGAACACCTTGGAACACAAGTCCTGAACTTATTGTCATCATCATTCTATATTCTAGCTTTGTGGTTGCCATGCCAAACATGCGAGCGCAGGATGGGGTCTGACTACACTTTCGACATTCTGCTCAGTTTCCCCATTCTTCGCCCAATTTCTCCGAGCCATGGAAAATCAGCCCATAAACGATACTATGCTGTAATATCCTAAGTTATACTCTAAAAGGCTGAGTCTACACTTTTGGAGGGCAGTGCGCTGCACCTCGCGGTTTAGTCTTCAGGGTAGGGTTAAAGTAGGGTTTAGGGTCAAAACCGATGCCTCGCATGCTCTCCTATAGAAGTAGAGGAGGCGACCTCCCGAGTCTTTGGGGCGCTATGATCCCTAAAAATCCTAAAGGTCAACCCAGAGACTCCAAAACCCCTCAATTAAGAAATATACCTTAAACTATAATAGGAATCCTAATATGATTTAAGGTATATTCCTTCATGAAGGGGTTTTGGAGTCTCTGGAAAGCTTTTGTTCCCCTAGGATACCGGACGAGTTCTCTATCACAAATGCCCCAAAGAGCCAAAAGTCAGAGCGGCGGTCTTTCAACCCATCTGCCCCCCAGGAACCTAGTCATGTCGTCACCGTCATGATCGCCATGATGGCCGTCGTCCCAGCAAATGCTTGTGCAGCATGTGGTCATGTCGGTGGCCATGCAATCATAATAAAGTAGGGGCCTAAACACTTACGAATACTATTTTGAGGGGCTCCTTAGTATACTTGTAGTGTAATATATCCCAAAACCCTATTCTAAATAGTAAGGCCCCTACATTAGGGGCAGCAATACCTGCCAGAACCTTATTACAGTTCCACTATAAAGGGCCCCCGAAACCTTATTCTGATCATTAAGGCCCCTACAAAAGGGTACAATTTTGGGTCCCTTTTACGTCCCCAATCTAGTAGGGCACCCTTGTAAAAAGGACCCTTAAAGGGACCCTAATAGAAAACTACCCATTAGTTGACTGAGAGTCTTCTAGCCCGGGGCTTGGTGGAGCACATGTTCCCTACTGCCGGACCCAGAGACTCCAAAACCCTTTAATTAAGGAACATACCTTAAACTATAATAGGAATCCTGATATGATTTAAGGTATATTCCTTAATTAAGGAATATACCTTAAACTATAAGAGGAATCCCAATAACTATGATTTAAGGCATATTCCTTCATTAAGGGGTTTTGGAGTCTCTGGGGAGGACTCGGAGCCGCCTTGCACGCTGGACCGCTTCACGGGGTTTGGGGTTCAGGGCAAAGGGTAGACTTGCAAAAGGGTGTAGGGTTTAGGGTTCCGGGTTTAGGGTTCAGGGTTTAGGGTTTAGGGTTCAGGGTTTAGGGTTTAGGGTTCAGGGCTTAGGGTTCAGGGTTTAGGGCTTAGGGAAGCAAGCCTGCAAAAGATCCCTGTTTGCAACCCACTGGCTGACTTGACCTCAAAGCTCTGAAGAAGCAAAAATACAAACCCAACTGGAGGCGTCCCCTATACCCTAAACCCTAAGCCGTCCTCAACCTGAGATCCCGAGAGCTGTGTGGCCAGAGGTGCTGCGCCTCTTACCATAATCCGATAAAGAACCCAGAGACTCCAAAACCCCTTAATTAAGGAATATACCTTAAATCATATTAGGATTCCTATTATAGTTTAAGGCATATGTCTTAATTAAGGGGTTTTGGAGTCTCTGGGAACAATCAGAATTTTCAGTTGCTTCCCACCCGCCATGGACATCATGAGTCAAATGTGAGGCACCTGAAACCCCTAAAGCCCCGAAGATCCCAGTGATTCTCTAAACCCTAAACCCCTAAAGCCCCGAAGATCCCAGTGATTCCCTAAACCCTAAACCCCTAAAGCCTCGAAGATCCCAGTGATTCGACACCGAGGTCGGTGTATCGGGACTGAGCGCCTTCAGCGGTTTCGCCCCCATGCTGCTGGGCTGCCATCTGCTGGGTTTGGCTCGTGTTTTTGGGGCTTCGGGTTTCCGGTATAGTGGAGTTCGGAATCTTTATCGACGACGCCGTGAATGTATTGATGCTTACACTTTTTGAAACTCCTGAGCCTTCAAACCTGCCCTGGAAATCTGCAAGCCTACTCAGCTCGAACTTCTAGAGCCTAACTTGCACTACCTTGCGTCATAAGCTTTCGTAGGTTGCCTCGAAAGAATCGCAGTTCAGTCTGTCAGGGGGTTTCCCAGTGCCTGCTGCAGCCCCACACGGTTAGGAAGGAAACGGGAGAGTAGTGGGGCAAAATTATTAACAATCTGTAACACCATTGATGCAATTACTAGTGCTAGTTCTGTAAGACAGTAGCCCAACAGTTGTTGTATCATTAAAGGCCCCCTAGATCGGGAACCTAAGAGCCCTAAACACGAAGGCTTTCACTCGAAAAACGACTTCCTAAACCCTAGAGTTTGGCCTGTAGAGATTAGGGTATTAACCTTACCCTAACCTTCCAGGTACCTACTATGTAGGGCCTAGGGGCTCTGGTACCCTCTATAGTGGGTACCTGGACGGCTAGGCTTACACGCCCTACAGCTTGGGCTTGCACTTGGTTTGGAAGCGGGGTTCGTTTCGACTGGAGGTTTGGGAGTTACTGTTCATGGTCTACGGGGTTCTAAGCGGGTCTTAAAAGGTTTTGAGTCGTTTAAAGGTTTAGATCCATGAGGGCATTATAGGCCTTGTGGTCATGGCTGAGGCTGATGAAAACGGGGCTATAGTTCATCATCATGCCAGAGGGCTCCTTTTGAGGTTCCAGTTCCTGTTGAGTTCTCGATGGGGTTTACAGGTTGTTTTCGCACTTAGGGGCTTTCTGGGGCCTGGAACCCCGGCAGCTCTGCTTCAGGGGATCTTCGGGTTTAGTAAACCCTAAACCCTAAACCCTAAACCGCGTGTTTAGGGCCTGGAACCCCGAGTTAAGCTGTGCGATGGAGGATGGCGAAGGCCTACGTCTCCGCTAAAGCGATGAAGGAGGCTTGGAGCTCTTGTGGACCCTTAGGGTAACTACCTATTTTCTCCTGTTGCTTTCTTTGGTTAGACAAGTTTTGTATTATAGCATCCTAACTCCTAACCATAAATCCGGTTTATCACATTGCTTGACCGCAAACTACCTAGGCATCATAGAAAGAGGGCTTCCTAGGGCTTCTGGAGTTCAGTTTTCCAGAGAGTCGAATCAGTCCCTTCACTCCCTGAAAATTGCCAGAGCAAGGCGAAGAAGCAAGACCATGATAGTAATAAAGCCGTAACGACAATCCCTGTACGCACCCGATGCTTGGAGCAGGTGATGACGGCAGATGCACGCACGATCGAGCAGCCCCTCTACACGCAAGAGGCGCTTCCCGAAGCCTTGAGCACCGCCGCTTGGTTTCCCAGGAGCTTTAGGGTTTGGAGCCTTCGGGTCTAGGGCTTCATGGGGCTTTATAAGGTTCAAATGTGCGTTGCAGCCCCTGCTCAACAAAAAGGATTTCAAAAGGGGGGGGGGTGGGGTCAGTATAAGGGTGCCTATATGCTTCCAAGAGTGTCTTTTGCTTGATACTCCAATTCCAGATTGGGATAAACCCTAAACCCTAAACTCGGGACACGATCATGGATGAGAGCTCCCTTTTGAGCATGTTTTGAAGCTCCCTTCAACTCCCACTTTAAGTCCTTCTTAAAGGAACTGCAACTTGCCATTGCGCAGGTTGAGCTGAAGGTGTCATGGATTCAGATTCTAGGGCTCTTGAAGGCTGACAAGTCCCCTACCCTAAGGGTCCAAGTACCTAATAATCATATACTCTCCCAAATATTAACTTAGGATGCTACTATCCGCAAGCAAAGTACCTTATTATTGGGTCCTTTGGACCCTTTGGGCTACTACTCGACTTTCCTAAGTTATGCCGTCAGCGCCTAAAGCGGAAGCTTCGTCCGAGATCACGGAGAGATTCAGTGTGAAGCCGAATGCCCAACACACTCATGGGTTCATGGGTTCGGATCCTACTGGCAAGCTCAGGTGGATACCGTGGAGTTTCGGAACGTGAGCTTCAGGCACCTTTTTTCGGGGGTTTGTGCGTGGGTGCCCGTTTTGTTCCGGGGAAGGTTCGACTGTTTCCTTTTCGAACGATGCTGCTTGGGACCCTCGTTTGAGGTCGGTAGGATGGAGAGATACCGTGTTGCGGGATGGTGGGTTGGAGTTAGGGGCTTGCTTTGTGGTGTCTGAGCAGGTTTCTGATTTTGGCGTGGGTAGCGCGAGCCGAGCGTCCAAACATTGAACCCCAAATCACCGAAGCGTTCCGGGCCTTGGCGCACCACCTCGGGAGGCGTCCAACCTGTGTTTCTGACATGACCGCAACCATTCGAAGTACGGTTTAGGGTTTAGGTTTCTAGGGTACATTCCAACATCAAACGCATTGGACCTCGGATTCTCCAGTATGCCGCGGTCCCAGTGAAGCCCCAAGAAGCCCCACAGGGGTTTTCATTAGCGTCCCTGTCTCTACAACGTCCTCAGAGGGCCCTTCGCCCTATTCTGTAAGCTTTCAGAAAGCGCTGCGGGCACGTAGTCTTTACTGGAAGCAGTCGAGAGTTCTTGGAAGGTACCCGACAAGGCAGGACAAGTGGGTCCTGAGCAACTTCAACTTCCGGGTGCTGAACCCTGGCATGCTGTGCGTGTCAAGAGCCTTACTAGAGGGGCCTCAATAATTGTCTGTATTTTTATTTTTATATATTATTTTGGGGGGTTCCTTATTGTAATTATAGTATTATATACCACCCCAACACCCTCTTCTAATTATTAAGGCCCCTATATTAGGTTTGGGGTCTGGGTTGTCGGGGTATTGAAGGTGTAGGCATGCAGAATTCAAGGCTGGGAGGACCGTACCGCCTTCAGCCTTCATGTTCTTCTACTGTGGGTATAGAAGACTGTCTGGTGCTTAGTAGGGAATGGGGGAGTGGATCCCTATGATAGTCCCTTACAAGATCCCATATAGTAGTCCCTATAACCCATTCCCCCATTCCCTACGAAGCACCAGACAGAAGAGGTACCCCCGGAATCAACACACAACACAGCAAGAGAGAGTGGGAGCTAGGATTAGGGGGACCCTTGGGGATATAGACCCTCTTAATAAGGTCCCTTTTAAGAGAGCCAAAAGTAGGGTTCAGAAGGGGTACCCTTTAAGGGGTACCCCTAATAACACTACCTAGAGAGGGAGGCAGAGAGAGAAAGAGAGGGAGATCTTCCAGGATTTCAGAGTACCTTAAGAACCCAAAACCCATTTTTTTGTAGGTTCTTGTTATAAACCCTAATATGGGATTTATAGGGACCCTACAAAAAAGTAGGTTTTGGGTTCTTAAGGTACAGCCTGAACTTTCAGCCTTGGGCCGTTTGGGCTTCGGTACTTAGGATGAGGGTTTGAAAGTTTGGTGCTGCGGTTGAGGGCACTTGGCCTTTTGGCATAGTCCAAGCTCTACAGCCTCAGATCCTAAACCCTCAGCCGTAAACCTCGTTTAAAGCCCTCAGCGTTAAACCCTTCAGACAATGTAACAGCCAAAAAGACCTGACCTCCTGAAGCCCTTCCTACAAGGCCCCCAAAACCCCATAAACACCTCCACTCTCCCAAGCCTTCAAGGAAACCCCTGAAGCACTAAACTCCAAGCTCTAAACTCTAAATCCTACATACCTTAAATCCCTCCTAAAAGGGGTCCAGCACTCCTGGCTGGACAGCCTCATGAGATTTCCGGGCTTGGTAGAAAAGGAGTTCAACCACACAACTCTAAACCCTAAACCCCTGAAGCCCCAAGCCCCTGAAGCCCCGAACCATCCCAGACCCTAAACCCTAAACCCTACCCCCAAGTTCCGAGCCCCAAGCCCCTGAAGCCCCGAACCATCCCAGACCCTAAACCCTAAACCCTACCCCCAAGCTTCGAGGAATGGTCAAAAGATCGCTTTCGCCGGGGAAAGCGGCTGTGGAGCCTTGGCTTCACTTTTCGCCGCGCCTTCCGGGGCTCTTGCGATAAAGGGAAAGTAGGGGTTTACGAGTTAGGACATATAGGACATAGGGGCTTAGGGTTTGAGGGGTTTCAGGCTGTATGTGTTTAGGATCTGGCATTTTGGAGATTTAGGGGTTTACGGTTGGGGCTGTATGGGTCTAGGGGTTTAGGGTTTAGGGGGTCGGTAGGGAAGAAGCTGATTGATTAAGTTGCCATCACACAGGCTTTACAGGGTGTTTAGCATGGTCATTGATTTTAGGTTTGTCGAGAACTGCAGGAGTTAACTAAATTGAGTTCATTCGCCACCGTACAAGGGCTTTATGCTGTTCTCTATCGTTGTAAGGGTGTTGTGAGACGTTCAAGCAGCATTGTTCTAGATACCTTCATAGGGAAGTAGAGTAGATCAAAGGCTTCCCCTATCATGTGAACTGAATTGAGGTTCCTTCATGTTTCGAGACCGTTCCGTGCAGTTTAGGGGGGTTGGGGTTTGGAGTTGTCGATGCCCACTTCGCGCCCAGGGGTTGCAAGGCGAGCCTGCTGTTGCTGCAGTTTGTTCAAGTGTCGCCAAGAAGATAGACATTGCATCCATGGGTAGCATCTGGGCAATGCATTGTACATCTACAATGAACACTGTAACCTGCCGAATCGCATCAGCAGAAAGAAGTCTATTGGACATGCACCAATCAGATCTCACGTGTTCTATTTATGTACCCCCAATAAATAATATAAGTATATATATATAGAGAGAGAGAGAGAGAAAGAGAGAGAGTACTTACACCGTAAACCCCAACCCGCGATCGCATTGGCCGTTAGCCTGCAAGTGAGGGAGTTTGCAGGCAAGAGCACCACGATCCAGCTGTTGGAGCGCTTCTACGACCCTTGTGGAGGTGGACCGGGTTTAGGGTCTGAGAGTTTTTCAGTTTCACATTGTGCTGTCCCGAATAAGATCAGGGGCTTCCGATTCGAATCAGTCGAAGTCCTTCGGTTTGTTTTTCAGCGCCACTACATTATCGATTGGTTGGGTATGGCTAAACCTGCAGGCAAGCAGCAAGTCTGGTTGTCATTCAAAACGTACTTGGACTCTCGAGAGATCCTAGCACACACCGGAATTCCTGGTTGTAAAGCCTTTTGAAATGAAACATCTGAATATCTTCTTAAAGCTTCAACTATTCCTACACCGAAGCTCACGTCCTTTGAGCGTGAGAGCCCAAACCCCAAACCGAAGGGATCCCTAAACCCCAAAGCCTGTTTGAATGCCGCCAGCCTGAAAGACCCAGCAGCATGAGGCGAGGTGTTGGTGAATGGCATCAACCTGAGCCAGATTCCCGTCAAGGCTGGCGTTTAGGGTTTAGCGGGTTTCGGATGCTTTGATGAGTTTTCAGGCTCGTCGGGTCATGGGGTATTTCCAAAAGGTCGTGCTCTGGGCAACATAGTACGGCCACACATATCTATTATTGAGATCCTAGTGGTCAAAGTTGTCAGGCTTTAGGGGCTTGCCTGCCGTCTTCTTCACGGTAGCTCTACTTCTACGAGGTGGGGGATGGCAAAAACAGGGCCACAATAATTAGGACAGGGTTTTGAGGGAGGTTGTGGTATTCACCGCGGAAAGCTGATAGCTGATAGATGCCGGGCTTGCTGTACTGCATCGATCTTCAACGGCGGGCTGAAGGCGGCATGGTCTCAGAATCACTACTATATTGAGGATTTTTCGCCGCTCAGAAACCCTGAAACCCAACCCCAAGGGTTCGAAGTACCTATAAGGGGTATGCTTCCCTGCTACCAGTTACATCGAGAAAGTGGGGTTTCAACTGTTTAGGTACTTGGGGCCTGTTGTGTAAGTTGGGGGCCTAAACCCTAAACCCCTAAACCCCTAAAAATCCTGGCAGGCGTGGCGCAAGCTCATCGGGTACGTTGGACAGGAGCCGGTGCTTTTCGCCACCACTGTCGGGGTCCCCGGTACTGTGGTTTAGGGTTTAGGGTTTAGGGTGTACTGTGTTTCGGGTTGAGTGGGTCTTTCAGCAAATCGGTGTGAAGGACTAAGCAAACCGTAAACTTGTATAATGAAGGATGGTGCAGGCTTTGTTCGGACTTCCGGCTTTGGTGCTAAAACTAATTTGGGAAGAGCCCGCTATTGGTCGTTTCTTGATGCTCTTTTCTAGCAGGGCTCTATAGGCGTATGGTAGGGCTTTCGACGTTTTGTTTTTGTAGGTTCTCGCGCTAAACACCCGAAAGTTTCACACGCAAATGAGGCCAGGAAGCTAAGCATACAACACAAAGCTGTACAGCACCTTGCCCCAACCCACCATGACACAGCAACAATAGCAAATCCTCGAAATCGTGGAGGTTTTGCACTGTTTGAACCCTAAACCCTAGACCCTAAACCCTAAACCCTAAACCTTGGACTTTTCAAAACCAAGGTCATGAAGAATCTGAAGGCCGGCGATAGTTCCATCAGCGACGAGCAAGTCCACGAGGCCACGCCAAAATGGAGCTGTTATCTTAATATAAGGGCCTTAATCGTTAGGATAGGGTTTGGGGGCATACTATACTATAATTATAAAATAAGGAGCCCCCCAAACCCTACTCTAACCATGAAGGCCCCTACGTTAGTCGGCATTTAGGGTGTTGTTCTTGGTGACAAAAGGCGTGGCACAGAGTCAGGTCCAGGAGTGCTGTTGGTGGTAGGCCCTATAAACCCTATAACTCTAAACCCCCCAACCCTAAACCCCTACCTTAAGAACCCAAAACCTATTTTTTTGGTAGGGTCCCTATAAAACCCCTATTAGGGTTTATAAGAAGAACCTACAAAAAAGTGGGTTTGGGGTTCTTAAGGTACACCCTAAACCTGGGTCTTATTATGGTGTTGAGATGGAGGGTTTAAGCATCGGGCGTTCGGCGTTACCAGTTCAGGAGTTAAGGAGTATCCGAAGTTGCCTGCAGGCGGCGAAAGCTGCGCAGATCTACGACACCTTGCACCCCAGCAAGCCCACGACTGGTATTAAGGTTGGAAAAGCTTAGAGCAGCATGCAGCTACAGGTAATTTAGGGTTACTGTAGGACCGCCGTGTTTGGCGATTGGGATTTGGGAAATGTTAGGGTATGTTGAGGGCTGAAGGTTGCGGCGGTTTGCCATTTATTGTTCCGTTGTTTCAGGTCCATCGGGTGTCGATTTCGTCCTCCTTGGGCATCATTTCCAGCAGCGCATCCATATATGTCTGAGGAAGAAGGACACGTAAGAAACAGTAAACTAAACAGTTGAGCGCCATGTTAGGCTGATGTGGCGGGCCACCAGAGCGCCAGATTGTAAACCCGGCAACACCCGTGTACAACTCCACAATGCGCGGGCCTGAACTATTGCGATGTAATATAGTATTCAGTTGGGCTCGTAGTTAGAATCGTACAAGCTACCCCAAAGCCCTATCCTAACTACCCGTATTAAAGCCTCTATGTGGTCGCCGTAATTCCCCTGTCCGTGCCTTGAAACCAACCACCGCCTACCTAGGATCAATCTGCTGGACGGTTTCGACACCTTTGTTGGATCTGGAGGCCGGCCCTTTCAATAGGGTCCTTGAGTCGATAGGTTTTAGGGGCAAAAGGATGCCCTACGGGCCCTTATTTGAGATTGTTAATCCTTTACTTTTTTGGGGTCACGGCATTTAAGGTCAATGCTTTCCGGTGTAGGTTGGGGGTTAGGGCATCTGGCCCGAGGGGCGTGGACTGAAGCTGGGAGCGGGGGGTTTCAGCTTGCTGTCTGGGAGTCTGGGGGTGCGGAAGTTTCTTCTGCTACGGTCGGGGCGTAATTCGGCTTGAGGGGTTTCCATAAACAAAAGACAGCACGCGAAGAGATCCGTAACCGACAAGTTACAAGACTCAAAGCCCCAAAGCATTCTCCATTCCTTCTCCAGGTCAGAAAAGCCAATGCGCTGAGCCCTTGAGCTTGAACCCTAAGCCTTTGGTAAATATAGGGCTTATAGGGTTAAGATCCCTTATAAACGCTGTTACCGTATATCCCTCAAAGCCCTGAAGACTGGAAGTGCCCACAAGCTTTTTGCAGGTGGGATGCTGTCTGGAGGTCAGCGTCAGCGTGCCTCTCGGCACGCACTGTGGGTTTTAGTCTAATGAGGAGATTTTTTTCGCTTTCAGGGCCATGATACAGGTTTGGAGGTTATGGGTTTAGGGTTTATCAGCTTAGGGCCTGAGGGTTTTGGGGTAAAGGTCGTAAGTGTCGTGTAAAGTTCATCAACCGTGCACGCAGCCAAGGTTCAACCATACAGTAGGCAGAGCAAATTGAACAAACTGCCATTCGCCCATAACAAGCCCCTATCAAGATCCGTGGAAACCTCCAGTTTTCTTTCTGTTGTCATCCGTTTACCCGTGAGGTTGCAATTGCACGGGCCCTGGCGAAAAACCCACAGATTTTGCTGCTCGACGAGGTGCACGCATCCATGTTCAGTGGGATTGCAGGGTTCTGCCGCAAGGGGTTTGAGGTGTAGGACTTCAGGATTTAGGCCTTGGAAGTTGGAGTTGGGTTGGGGGTGTAGGTTTGGGCTTTAGTCCTGGGGTTGGGGATGGATGTTTGAGGCTTGCTGTTTTAGGACGCTAAGGCTAAGGGTTGGGGCTTTCCAGCGCAAGGTTGTGGGGTTCGCAGTCGCCACTGAGCAGCTGCTCAAGACTGCAATCCACACGGTTTAGGGTTTCGGGTTTAGGGTTTAGGGAGGCCCGTTGCTTTCGCTACAGTAAGCCCTAAACCCCTCTAGACTCTAGCCCCTGTAGCCCCCTAAACCCAACAAAATAGGAGGTTTTGGCCCGATACGTAGGTACGGGAAATAACCCTTAACGGGCAAACACAATCGACATGTTTCTGGAGCTATTCCCTCTGGCCTAGAGGTCTTTTTATGACCGGTCTTCAACCAAGCCCTTGGTCTGGGTTTAGTGTTTACCATGTTCCCCCAGACCCGTTTCTCATCATGTACGCTTAGGCGGGCCGCGTCACATTCTGACACAGGGCTCCGGAAAGTCAAGCCATGGAGCCGAACTTGCTTCAATGTAGCACTCGCGATGCGAACGAGAGGCCTGCTAGTATGTGCGAGTATTGGATAAGTAAGAACAAGAGGAACATGGAAGCCTAAGTGATTACCAATAATACTCCTTGGGGATAAGAACATCACTACGAAACAACGCCAACCCCAAATTCAGAAGACCCCAAAATTCAGGAGCAGAGCATAGCAACAACGAGACGATCAACCACTGAAGATCAATCACCAGCTTCGCCCCTAATAGGGACCGGCATAGGAGGACAAGACAGCCAGGTCATGATTGTATTCAAGCTCAACAAAGGCGAATGCGAAGAACCCATCGCATGGCAACAGTTGTAAGAAACAGAAGTTAAAGGACCCTCGTATGGTGATAGCCAAAACCCTGGATTGTCATTGTCGGCCACCGAACTCTTGTAATTAGCATGAAAACCCGACAGGCCACCTCCGCATTGGACAACGAGTCGGAACGCCTTGTGCAGGACTGAATCTGGGTTCTTGTTAAGGAAACCTTGGTATTTACTATAGATCCTTATTGTGGTAACTCCAAATCCCCCATATAAAGAAACCCTGGTATTTACGATAGGTCCTTATTATGGTAACTCCACTTACCCATAGGCCCCATAGTAGTTCCTCTTTGGGATTACCTAAAAGGATTCTAAATCTGAACCCCAAAAAGGAACTTCTTTGGGGCCTCTGGGTACCTTCCTTTAGAACAAGAACTCAGGCCTTGATCACAGCCTACGCCTTTCAGACGCCCGGGGTTTTAGAGTTTAGGGATTAAGGGTTTTTTAAGTGCTAGGGCCGAGGGTCTAAAGTTTCTCGCTTGGGGGCTTCAACTCGAGGCGGTAGAGCTTAGGGTTTAGGTTTTAGGGGTTTAAGGTTCAGGATTTAGGATTTAGGGTTTCGGGTTCAGGGTTTAGGGTTCAGGGTTTAGAATTTACGTTTAGGGTTTAGGGTTTAGGGTTTAAGGGAGCCAGGATGACGGGTCGAGGGATCGGCAGATCATGGTGTTGGGTTTTTGGATGCACTGCGCCAAAGGTGCCCCAAGGCCCATCAAGGCTGGCATCTTGAAAGGAAGCTTAGACCGCCAGTCGCTTTATGAGCTCCTACATCCCGGCAGCTGGGACCCTACACCCTGACCCATAGCCTAAACCCCGAGCATTTTCGGAGGCGGGCAATCGATGCTTCGACGAACTTCTAAACATCCACTGGGTCCTTATAACAAGGATCTTGCTACTGCAAGGTCTGGATTCCGGCCCCTAAACCCAAAACCGCAGGACAGTATGTCAGCAGTGCAGCCGGTCGGGAGTGCAGCTCAATACAGTGCAAGACAAAAGCCACATGGCACAATGCCTCAAGCCTCAAGCGGCAAGTAAGCCAAGACGTCTTGAGCACTAAGCCACAACCACCTCCCGGCCTCACGATTATTTCCAAAAAGGGAGGCAAAGAAACCTTAAACCGTAAACCCCTAAACCCCTAAACCCTACAGCCTCAGACAAGCCGTGAGGCGACCCTGGATTCCCTCAACTCGGTCATGGGCCGCAGCATCACCACGATCTCCATTGCCCACAGGCTGGGGGTTCAGGGTTTAGGGGGGCAGGGTTTAGGGGGGCAGGGGTAGCTTTCCGAGGGCACGCATACTACAACGTGTACATATATAGGACGCCTTTCGAGTTTCGGGGTTCAGAGGATGGGATGTTTTCTGCAACGTGCATCGTCAGTTGTAAAGCCCAGGGCCAGAAGCTGCAGAATGCCCGTCATGTTACTTGAGGCACCCAGGGGATTTGTGCTGACACTTTTCTTCCAGATCTATTATGTAGTGATTTGTATGCCGCGTGTAAAGCACAGGACCACCCTCACATGATCAGCTGTGGGATTGGAGCACTGCATGTGACATGTGGCAACCAAATGCGATCAGAGCTTCCGTGAAAAGGCACGAAAAGAGACAGAGAGCTGGAGTCTCGAGGCATGATAACATCGCAATGCTGACGCTGTTTTCGTAGTCAGGATCTCAGTAGCTGAGTGGATACACTTTACACTTTTTGGGGATAATACTACCGACTATAAAACTGAAAGTGTACACTTTTCTAGGCTCATGAACTCAGCATCTAAGGTTTTCGTAGTCAGGATACGCCTACTTTTGAACAAAGCACCATATCTCGGAGACCCATGCAAGGCTGACCACTATCAAGGGCTCCGACGCCGCGTGCTCAGCGATTCTAGAAATTGCAGCCCGTTCGGGCTTTAGGGTTTAGGGCTTTAGGGTTTTAGGGTTTAGGGTTGTTAGGGTTTCATGGTCTAGGGTTTAGGGTTTTAGGGTTTGGGGTTTAGGGTTTTAGGTTCTAGGTTTAGGGTTTTAGGGGGTAGGGTTTGGGGTTCTTCGATCTTTTCGGAGCATCCAGAAACTGCCCAGTCTCTGGCACCAACTTGGCTGCAGACTGCCAGTAGCAGAAACAGCTGACTTGATAACGGGCTTAGGGTTTAGGGATAAGCATTACCGGTTGTGAGCATACTTTGCTATACTCGATGTGTACATATATATATATATATATGTGTGTGTGTGTGTATGCATAGACATGATTTCTTATCACGCTGAGGTGATTTACGTGCTCAAGAACGGCCGCTGCAGTGAACAGGGCTCCCATGACGAGCTCATGGAGTTGAGATTTGACAGCAGCTTCGGGGTCATGGGTCTGGGGGTTTACGTAGGGTTTAGGGTTTAGAGCTTTCGGGTTAGGGTTTAGGGCTTGGGGTTTAGGGTGTGTAGTGTTTAGGGTTTAGGCAAAGCAGCTCCTCATACTTAGATTATACAAAATACTCCCAACGCCACATTGTGATCATTGAGGCCCCCATTTACTATATAGGGGCCTTAATAATTACCTAAACCGTTTTGGGGGTTCCTTACTCCAATTATAGTGTAGTGGACCCCAAAACTCTATTCAAATCATTACGGCCCCTACATTAAACCCTTCGCTCTCAAGTTTAGGGCTCTGCGCTTCGGATTTTGTTCCATGGTGAGAACCCCTCGTCAAGAGGCAAGACCGAGATATGCTTCCATGCCTGAATGCAAGGCTAAGCACACCCTATCGCTCAACATGGTTCCCGCTCCAAACCACGAAAGCTAAACCCGGATACTTTGAGCCACTGTAAGCCGAAAGCCCGAGACCCTACACGCCGCACTGCAGGCTCGTCCTCGCGAAATCGGAAGCAAGAACTCACCCCCAAACATTAAACGCTCGACACTAGAGCCTCAACTCGAAGAATGCACAGCTTTCCACTTCTGCGACCCAGGAAGGGTGAGTACTACAGCATGGCCAAGCTTCAGAGCCCTGGTCTACAAGGGTTTAGGATTTAGGGTTTAGGGTTTAGGGTTTGGGGTTTAGGGTTTGGGGTTTAGGGTTTAGGGTTTGGGGTTTAGGGTTTAAGGCTTCGCAGGGTTTAGGGTTCTTTATAGACTCAGGACGAAGTGTTCGCCCTAAGCCCCAATACACATGCAATCCTAGTACCTAAACCTTATGAGCCCGAAGCCTTAAACCCTAATAAACCCTAAACCTTAAACCCTAATAAACCCTAAACCTTAAAAAGAGACTGTCCGAGAGACCGCATGCATAAACCTTAAGCCTTAAACCCCAATAAACCCTAACCCCTAAACCCCCAAAAACAAACCTAATAAACCCTAAACCCTTGACCCTGGGCTTGGTTTCAAGGTTTCGGGCGATTGAATCTGCGCACGTTTATCAGAACATAAGCTGCGTTACGTGAACATCTAAACTTCGTACACACGCATATGTACATATATGTAGTTACCATGTAGTTGATGTGTGTGTGTGTGCATATATATATATATATATATTTGTTTGTTTGTTTATATGTCTATTTCATAACAGTAGCACACCAACAGGCATGTTATGTGTTACACTGATGCCGCACATCTCTAATCTGCTACGGTGTGCCTGGGCACTGGGCTCGATCGGAGAGCCTGCTCCGCCTCTGCTTAGAGTGTTGCATGTAAGTGTTGAGGGCTTCGGGTTTAGGGTTTAGGGTGCCCTGAACCCTAAACCCTAAAGTTTAGGGTTGTTGAGGGCCTTGAGGGTTGAGGATTTAGGGCTGCCGATTTAGGGAATTAAGGAGTTCGGCTTCTGATTTTCGGGCAGAGGTGGGTTCATGGTGCACCCTTCCGACACAAGCACGAAACGCCCTTGTTGCAGAAGACAGTTCTTTTGTGATTAGGGTTTAGGGTTTAGGGGCAAATCTTCCAGCCCTAAACCGTGAACCCAATGCTTTCTGCCAAGTTTTGCGGGCAGGGCCGTGGTTGCCTAGTGACCGAATATTTTGAGCTGTTCGTGCATATGAAAGCCTACAGTGTTCCAAAAGCTTCACTTGTCGAGGTGCCGGAAAACTCCGCAGTTAGGACCTAGGGTTTGCGGGTTTAGGCTCTGCAGCGCATTTAGGCCTTGGGGTTCTGTTGAGAGCTCAGATAGGGCTGCAGTGTTCGTTGGACAATAGTGTTTAGTGTCGACCGGCCTTATTTCGTCCGGGCTTTGCGGTTTCGTGGAACTCGGAGCAGTCTTTCTTCAAACGTTGAAAGCTTGCACGGACTTATGGGGCTCCTGAAGAAATTATACTGACGACTTCAACTATCAACAGCATCCACGTTGCTGTGCTTGCTGGGAGTTCAGGTGCTTTGGCTTCTTTGGTATGGGTTCAGAAGTTTTGGGTAGGTTGGGTTCTCCCCACTGCCTGTATCATTAATCTCCGATCAACACACAATCCTAGTACCTTCAAAGCGCGAACCGAAGGCAATCCCACCGTGAGGAGGAGGAGGAGGTCCGACGCCTTTGGCAGGTTTCCAGCGTTTAGTGGTTCAACAAGGGTCTCAGTCTTGGAACTACCTGGACCCCCAAAATTAACCTACCTCTTGAAGGACATTTCCCTAAAAAGGAAGGTCTTCTAGGGTCCACGCAGGACTTAGGGATGTTTACATCGGGAGTCTAGGGCTGTGGGCTCAATGGTAGAAAAGGCTGAAGCTAGAAGTTATACTCTACTATTCCTTAGGTTCCTGACTATATCTACACTATGATACGCACTAGCAACCTGTTCTGCCTATGAAGACCCCCATGTAGAGTCTGCGATTTCGGGGTTTGGGGTTCAATTCTGCTTGTAAGCTCTCCCAGGTGAATAATGGTGATCAGTGGTATATAGAGGGTACCTGTAGTCTCCATTGTAGTTCCTTTTTTTGGGTTAACCAATAACATATTAAGGATTTTATAAGGCATCCCCAAAAAGGAACTACAATGGAGACTATAGGCAAACTTATTTACAGTAAAGGGCTACGAGCTATTCTCTAAGAGCATGCCAGTAGGGGTGCGGTGGGGGATTTGTAGCTTCGAGTTTCAGTGATTTTGCAAACCCCAAGGAAGAACCGGCTGAGGACTGAAAAATGTTGTTCCTCGGGTTCGGCAACAATTGCTGCAGTTCGCACAAACCCACCCACCAAAAACATGGTCTAAGCAGTTCACCTATATAGACTTCACCAGAAAAAGATCCTGACAGGCGACTGTTGTTGCAAAAAAGCTAGCTTTCTCGGAGTTCCATGGAGGCTTGCTCTCGGCTTCCAGACGTCTAGTTGTGTCGTAGTGCCTTTGGGGCCGTTGCTCCGTAAATCCAGGGTGGGGTCCCCTGGCAGGATCTTTCTGCGGTGACACCAGCCCCAGTGCCACGAAGTGAAGCACAACGCAAGTTCGGCATGCAGAAGTCGAGTCTCAGCTGCAGCAAGCTCAGGGCTTAGAGGGTTTAGGGTTTAGGGTTCAGGGTTTAGTGCTGAAAAGGGTTCAGGTTTTTGTTTAGTGCTTTCGGGGTTCAGGGTTCATAGGCTGTTTGGTACTTGAGACCGGGTCTTGACTGGGGTCTAGGACCTAGGAGTCTGGACGTCTATGAGTTTGGACAGTTGCGTTAGGGGCTCCAGTGACCTACATAGTAGCTTACTAGCCATATAGTATCTACATGTATCTACCCCAGTAACCGACTATCTAGAAAAACGGTAGCCCGTGGGTTGAAAGTTGAATACTTCACACTGTTCACGCTCCTACAGGCCCTAGGTCCTAGGTCGGAGAAGCCCCAAACCCTGCACCCTAAACCCTGAACCCTAAACCCTCAGCCTAAAGCGGATATGGTGGAAAAAAGCCGTCAAAAAAAAACCTAAGCCTTTTTCCTACACCCCACACCTTACCTGTTTGCAGCTCTAGAGCGCTGGAACCCAACACTTCCTGGCCGTTTACATCCCAAGAGGCAGGGTTTAGGGTTTAGGGCTGAGGGCGCTCTATGATTATGAATCGCAGACCCGAAACCCTGAGCCCGAGACTCTACATCAAAGGCCTACGCAATCTAGGAGCCTGATGGAGAATTCCCCTGGTTCTATCATTCCAAAACGAGAGGATCCACATTCAGAGCCTCATCCAGAATCATGCGATTCTTCATCAGCTTTCGAGATTACACCCTAAACTTAACCCCTTATAGGCTCTAAGACGTTAAGCCCCAAGCCCACGGCCAGTTGGCATCGATCCTAGCAATGTGGGAGGAAAAGACCCTCAGCCTAAGCCTTGCACCTTCACTTGAAGAAGTACCAGGACCCTAAACCCTAAACCTAGGATGTCGATGATGCGACGCAGCGGGTCCGTCCTCAGCTTCTTTGAGTCAGCCTTCGAAATGGATGCGGGGGCCTCTGCTTGGTTTGGAAATTGCTAGGGTTAAGGGTTTAGGGTTTAGGGTTAAGGGTTTAGGAATTGAGACAGAGGGCTTTTAAGACATGGGTAGTTCTCTAAATGATGGTCCCTTTCAGGTCCTTGATATACAGAGTGCCGTGATGTTTTGGGGACCTGAAAAAGGGACCCTAATTTAGAGAACTGCCCATATGGAATTCAGGCTTTGGGACTGGGACCTTCTCTTCTTACACAGGTGGCGTCACATGGCTGTTGGTTTCGTTGGAAAAAAGCACGCTCGTAAGCAGCAGCATTGTCCTTTTCATGGAGCTGCTTGGAAAGATTTAGGGTTTAGGGTTTGTCCGACTCACGAAGTGCGAAGCCTGTTGCAACAAGGGGATTTAGGGTTATGGTGCATTCCTGTGGGCAGGAGAGCGTCACCGCCACTCCTCGAGCTTCTCGACTGCAATAGGTTCCACTCCCATGTGTGTGGCTCGATAGGAGCGGACGTTTCGGGAAACCAATGCGAGTCTCGTTCCATGGGTACATGCCCAGCCAGATAAGATGTGCCAGATCGTGTTGCGATGTGCCGCAGATAAGCTTGCGTAGGCTTGCGGCTTATCATCGACGGCATCCGGATACTAGAAGGTTGGAAGAGGTTGAGGGAAGCCATATCCTTGTGATTATCATCACATCATCACCACTGTCATCATCACCACCAGCATTATCACCATCTTCATCATCATCATCATCACCACCATTTTCACAATCACCACCAGCACCATCATCACCATCATCATCTTCTGCTGGCACTCGCAACCATGTTTCGCTTCAGCATCGTTAACAGCTTTCAAACATGTGTCAGTGATTTCTACTAGGGGATACCTTCAGCCTCATGCCCGCAATGCTGGGAACGTGACACAGATTACCCGACCAAGACACCCCCGACTCTACCGCCGTGAAGCCGTCGACCCTACTTCTTGTGAAAGCCCGATCTTTTGCCTCAACCCTTGAGGCTTAACCAGCCTGAAAACCAAATACCCATAGGCCCCATAGTAGTTCCTTTTGGATTCTCTAATCTACTAGAATTCTAAATATAAGCCACAAAAGGAACTACTATGGGGCCCATGGGTATACCCAGATCGGAAACCTGCCGCCCTTGAGCTGCATCCGCAACCCCCCCCCCAATCCTTTGAAGCCTTGATTCCCTAAGAAGCTCCCTTAGATATAACCCGCAGCACTACATATATGTCCTACAAGTTAAGCCCTTACATCCTGTATCTATGACTCCAAACCTCCAAAACCTCTAAAAATCCGAAATTCTTTACCACAGCCCCAAGCCCTAAACTTTAGCCCTGAAGACCCCGCATTCGGCCCGTTGAATCTGAAGCCACAATCCGTTCTGCTGAGATCTGGGGACGACTTTTCGGCCTCATGAGGTGGGTGTATAGGAGTTTAGGGTTCAGGGTATTCGGATATCAGTGTACTAGGGTCTAGGGTTTAGGGTTCTAGTCTGGAAGTGTTGCTTCCCAGCTGATTGGCAGAGTCTGGGTTCAAAAAAGGGTTCAGGGTCTCTTCAGTGTTGCAAGTTTTTGTTTGGGATTCTGGTGGGGTTGAGGATTTTGGGTGCCCTGGTGCCGCTAGGGTTCTACTTTTCGGGTTTAGGAGCATTCAGGGGAGGTGGGACCTTCGGGGTTGTTAATGTGCTTGAGGGATCTAAGGTTTTGGGTTGAGGGTTGTGTAGGGAAAGGGTTTGGGGTTAAGCTTGGCGCTTGGGGTTTGGATTGCAGGGGTGTAGGTCTTAGATGGGTTTAGGCTTGGGGTGTAGAGGAGCTATGGCACAAAGACAGAGTGACCGGCTTTGATTTCTAGGTTTGCATCCTGCCTAGTTACTTGTGGTAGGCACACATGTGCACCCACCGAGCACTGCCACCAGCTTGCAGCAACAGACTCAAGAGCTGAATGTCACATAAGCCATGTCAGAGACTCGACTTATCTAACACACCTGGAGCTTATGAAGAAGATGTACTATGCCGGCTGTCAGCATTGGTGTTGTTTTGCCACCATCATCATCATCATCTACATTATGATAATCACCGTTCCGTTTGCTGGCGGTATCATGGCTTCTCCTTATGTCATTGAGATCGTGCCAAGGACACCAAGCAACAGCCGAAGACAGGGCTTGAACCCGGGGGGGGGCCCTGAAGGGGGGGGGGGGGGGCNNGGGCATTCAATGTAAAAGAGGAGTGCAACATGACCCCGGAGCCTCAGTCAAATCAAAGTATTAAGACCCCGATGTTACTCGACATGGCACTCGGTGCTGGCGGTGGCTTCAGGTTTCCTGTTCTTGGCAGAGTTGTCTATGGGAAGCTTTGCATCTTCCTTTATGGTTCTATAGGGTACATACGTTGATATACATAGATTGATATTCATACACACACACACATACATATATATATATATATACGTAGAATAGATAGATAGATAGATAGTTAGTTAGTTAGTTAGTTAGTTAGATAGATAGAGAGAGAGAGAGAGAGAGCTAGAGACAGAGATTAGAGACAGAGACATAGATATAAATACATATTATCCAGATATAGATATAGAGGTAGAGATAGGGATAGATCGATCGATAGATAGAAAGGTGGTTTAAATTAGTTTAGATAGACAGAGCTGCTTCGGGTCACTGTCGCTCGAGGCTCTATTGGTGGGTCTGGCCAATTGCTTTCCTGGCATCTGGGCTGCGAGTGTTGTTTTTCAAAGGTTGGCGGTCTGGGGTTCAAGGCTTAGGGTTCAGGGTTCGCTGGGCTGAGGGTTGAAAGTTTGTGGAAGCCAGGCAAGGCCGAAACCCATCACATCAAAAGCAAGGAGTGGGTCCGCAGCACGTCTCTGTTAAACCTGTTCTCGGCTAGGTGACTTCTTCACATCCTCAATTGCAGGTTCCTTCCTGGGAGCCCGGAAAAGAGTATCAGCGAGAGAAGTTCTAGGAATGCCGGATGCCAACTGAAAGCTCAGATCATCATAGCAGAAGCCGCCGGTGCACCTCTCGAAGCAGTTTTCTTCAATGGTGCACGGCCCTCAGCTGCTGCGGGTCACGGGCGTTGAGGACTTGGTCTTCGGGCTATCGGACTGCTGGTCAGGATCTATATCTGGGTTCAGGGTTTAAGGGTTTACCCATAGGCCCCCTAAAGTAGTTCCTTTTTGGGGTTCATAATATAGAATCCTATAAGGTAACCCCAAAAAGGAACTACTATGGGGCCTATGGGTAGGGTTGAGGTGGGGAAGATGTTACCTGGTGCGTTCTTCGGCCGTTGCCGCCACTTCTTGACAGTGGCGGACGATTTTTTCTGGGAACCAGCCAAGGTCATACCATGCACTGCAGTATCTTGCAGATAAACTCTAAGCTGTGGCTAACTAGTGCGCTCATGAGCAATAAGCAGAACATAGTTAAGAGGTTTAGTGGTTTAGGGTGCTTTGAGCTTGAGGGCCTTTGGGTGTCCAGGCAGGTTTCAGAATGCTGGGGTCTCACCTTGAGGGCCGGTATACAGCCTATACAAAACTTGCAAAATCTCAATGCCCGTGGACAGAAGCGTAAAACGAAAGCTTCCTTAACTTTCTCCATGAGGCCATCCTAGCACTGTTCGAGAGCGAGAAAATCGGTGTGGAGGCGATGTACCCCATGCTGGACCAGGCCCTGAACCCCGAACCCTTCAATGTAGGGGCCTAAATAATTACCTAGACGAGTTTTGGGGCTCCTTGTTATTATTATCGTATAATATACCCCCAAACCCTCTTCTAATTATTGAAGCCCCTACATGACTCTGAGCGCTATACCCGATGACACCGGAACTCTAAGCCTTAAGCCCTATAACCCCCAAATCTCTAAACCCGATAGGCCCCTAAATCCTGAACCCTAAACCCTAAACCCCTAAACCCTAATCCCTAAACCCTAAAGGGCCAGGCAGTCTTTTTGAGCTTCCTGGTTCGAGAAAAGGGCAGCGAGGAGAACGGTGTTAACATAGGGGCCTTAATAGTTCATCTTGGGGTTCCTCGTCATGAGAAATTCTAGGTTTAATATCCCAACAACCCTATTCTAATTATTAAGGCCCCTACATTATTCTGTTTTGGGGTTTGTATGGAATTGAGTTTGGGGGTTCTGGACATGGAGCTTGGGTGTGGGGTTTGGGCTTTGTGTCTACTCGCGGTGCAGGGGTTCTTGGCTTACCCTAACCCTCCAGGTACCTACTAATAGAGGGTACTAGAGCCCCTAAGGCCCTTACTGGAGCCCCAAGAGTCCTCTATAGTAGGTACCTGGAGGGTTAGGATTATTAGAAGCTAGACGAGGGCGGAATGCAGAAAAGAAGTCCTAATCATGAAAAGGACGCGCATCAGACTGTCACGACCGTTGTCATGGCCGCAGGCATGATAATGGTGGTGCTAAGGTGGCGCCAACAATGCCGGGATGGGCGATGCCGATGAAGAACATACGAGGGTCGATCACCGGCACCATTCAAGCGTTTAAGACATGATGGCGACGATCGCGACAACGATCATGTGGCCGACTAGGACGGTGAGGATGATGATTCTGTTGATTCCAGGAACCGGCCCTAACTGCACCCTAAGCCATCTATGTCCACCATGTCCTCAAAGCCCCAACCTTACATCCTTCAAGCTAGTTTACCCAGAAAGATCTCCTTTTTTTTCTAACGCAGAAGCCGGAAGCATGACCAATACTATTCCGAAGATGTCCCTGTTATCAAGATAGTGTAATATAGCCCAAACCTCAATCCAATTCTTAAGCATATCACCGGGCACTTATAGTATAGCGCCCTGCACAGGAATCCTCAAACAGGAGCCCTTTCGTGCCGAGCTGTCGTGTCCGAGTTACCAGAGCTTAAACAGGAGCCTTATTCTACCTATGAAGTGAAATTTAAGGCTTCGATGTTATCCCAAACCCTGAACAGATTGTCCCTGTGAGAGGCAGTTCTTTGCCTCGTTCTGGTGGGCTTAGGGTCTGGCGTCGCGGTGCTGTGCCAGAACGCGCTCTTCACCTACTTGCACTTGGGACTTTCGAGTTTAGGGGCTTAGGGTTTAGGGCTGGGACTTTGGAGGCACCTTATAGGTTAAGGGTTTAGGGTTTAGGGTTTAGGGTTTAGGGTTTAGGGTTTAGGTTAAGGTTTAGAGTCTAACGCGGGCCCCTTTTCGCCTGTTTAACATGTGTGCGCTTGGGATTAGTTAGAGTTGGAAAGGTTTGGGTCGGCAGGATCTAGAAGCTTTGAGTATGGGATGGCGTGCTGAGCATCAAGGGTTGACATTAGGGTTCAGGATTTATGCATCCAGTGTAGATCTGATTCGGACGAAACCCGAAACAAGCCGATTGGTCCTATGCTATGTCAAGCCCTGCAAGGCACCTGAGAGTTTAAAGACTATGTCCTATAGCTCAGGGGTTCTAGGCCTTTGAGGTGGCAAGCAAATGGATTTATGACCGTTACGGGCTTGGGCTCCGCACCAACGAGGGTCAAACACTGTTCTGGCTCAGGGCTTGCGTTTCAGCAGCAACCCGATACTGCAAACTCCGACAGTTTAAGCCTTTAATACAGGGGTCTGAATAAAAGCCAATACTATTTTGTGGGTTCCTTGTTGCACTTATAGCATAACGGGCACCGAAAACCTATTTCCCCTGAGCCCTTAACCTTCCTTCACCTCAACCCCCCTTTCCGGCCCTGCACTCAGGCAGGAGTGCTTGTGCATGATCTTGCGGAAGATGGCTTTCGCCTCCACCATACGCCGCTCCCATGCAAGATGCCGGTTCATATGGGGGCCTCAACATTAAAGTTAAGATGATGCTTCGAGTGTATTCGAGTAATTATAAACCATCTTGTCAAGCAGCAGGTTGCTCACACTCTAGATGTTTGTAGTTACCCGAAGTTACGATTGCGAACAAGTGCCGACATGATGACTGAAAGCCTAAGCCCTGAGCACGTAGACTGAGGCCTTCAACACTGCCCAAAAAACTCATTTGTGTTTAAGGTTTTGCTTCTACACTAAACCTGTGAAACTTATGACAGACCTGAAGCCCGAAACCCGAAGCTGTGAAGCCCATTCAACGCTCAGTTTGTAAGGAGAGTGCAGGCCCCCTGTAGCAGCACCAAGACGAAGCGCTTCTTTCGACGACCTTATGGTTCGAGAGTGCTGGGCGTGGCACGTAGGTTTCGCGTGCAGGGCTGTCACGGTTTAGGATTTAGGGTAAGGGTTGGTTTGAAGGTTGCTTGGTCTATGATTTAGGATGTAGGCTGCAGCAAGGAATGGACATGGCCTTCTTCGATGCCCCCGAGAATCAGACGGGAAGCATCCTGGTGTCCCTGGAGAGGCAGCATCGAGTTGCCATCATGGTTGTTGTTCGGACGAGGGCTTCACTTCATGGCTGTAGGAATTGAAAAGGGTGGCTCGGAGCCTGTGGACGAATGCCGATGTTTCCGGACTCGTTCCGGCACTGCTTTCTTCGATGTTTGAGTTTTTGCCAGTTGGGCGTAGCCTCAGTGCGTCATCCTTACTCGTTTCTCGGGAATTACCAGGTCTGGTGTCCACAGGTTTCAGGGACGGTGCGGCTCCAGCACAGTTAGACGTAAGTTACGCTAGTTGGTGCTGTTCAAGTAGGTTGTGGTCGTATCAAGGTTCGACCCAATATGTACGTACACACACATACATGCATGCATGCATGTGTATACTATATACATATATATATATATATATGTGTATATATATATATATGTGATATATGTATATTGATACACCTATGCATGTATTTATGCGTGTCGGCAGGCAGACATGCATTCATGTATATACGCATTTCTGCGTGTGTGCATGTATTGTGCTTGTTTCTGCTTGTTCATCCATTGTGTGTTTTATGCATGGGTAAAAGAGTGATGGAAACACGCAGGTAACCAGCAGCAGATATGATTAAAGGCTCGATGCGACCAATGTGTAGATGGAAACCACACGGTTCACACACGGCAAGCATGTAGTAACACAGATGTAACAATGTGTATGTAGTTTGACAGGACCTGGTCGATTTTCGAACTTCGCATCGAAAAGAGTGGGGTGCACTAGTGCCGTTGCGAAGCCATGCTCATATTCATCAAGGGGGGTTTGAACGGAAAAACACAGGAGCTGTGCGTAGAGTCATCAACCCGAATCGGTCCGTTGCCTCGTCAAAAGTTCAAGCCTCAGCGCTTCCTGACGATTGGAAGTGTGGGCATCTCGGAAGATAAAATCGTTGGCGACACGGTGTCAGTTTTGGCAAGAGCCGCCGCCAGAGGGCCTGTCTGTCCTTTTCTGGCAAAGCCCTGCAAGGCAGGCCGTTCGAGCGTGCCTGCACCAGGAAGCAGGCCGGGAGGATTCAGACCAACTGCCCGTGGATGATGTGCCGTGGTTGCCTCTCACGGAGACCGCGTCCCTTGACGAGCTTATCGTTGAGTTCAGCCGCTTCTTTATTCTGAAGGCGCTCAACGCTGACACAGCTGCCCCACGGCTGGCGACAGAGACAGAGCCGCCCAGCAAGCGCCCGTGCTTTGCTCGAAGTGCCAAGCTTTCACCTTCTTTTCATGTGGATGAAGTTTGGCACAGGCTCTTGCTTTTTCCACCGGCATATCAGGCTCTTTGCCTAAGCTTGAGGGGTGAGATCATCGACCCACGAGGCAAAGATCATCATCAACAAGACCGGTACCATTACACGTTCACAAAGTGCCTCAGTTTGAACCTTGACACTCAGATGAAGACTTCAAAATAGGGTACGAGGCAGATCAGTTTTGCTTGCCCCATTAGCTAACACGGTTATCATGTAGACAGGTACCTCAAACTCTTCGGGAAAGCGCCACCCCAACACTTCTGGGATATCCCAGCGTCATGGAAATCGGGCCCAGAACTTTGCTCCACGAACTACAACATCGAAGACAGCGAGGATACCGTGATGAAGATGATTGAAAGGGCGTGTGGCACACGTGTCGATCAACAGCGACTTATGTTTGCCGGGAAGCAGCTTGAAGAGCAAAGGACATTGAGCGACTGCAACATACAGCAGGAGAGTACACTGCTGTTGCATCTCAGGCTCAGAGGATGCTGGAAAAGTTTGAGAGCGTGTGGGTTTCGAGTTTGAGGATTTGAGGCTGGGTTTTAGTGGGTTGTTTGTCAGGGTCGCCACCAATCCCGAAATCTCAGTTTGTGGACAATCGGAGTGATTGTGCACCAGCGAAGCTACAAGGTGCTTCTCGCCAACAGTGGATTGCTGCTCCGAGAAGTGTCAGCTCCCACCGTACTACTCGCATTACAGAGCTACAACCGCTTCTGTTGCTTTCGTATTGTGACCTCTGCTTGTCTTGCGAGCGTCACTGCCGTTCATGGATTATTTTCATCGCTAAAGCTTGCCCTGAGCCCTGCTGTCGTCGCAACCACGGGGCTTTTTCACCATCCCACGTCGGACGACCTCTTTGGTCTGAGTTCCGCAGATGACCGACCACAGGGAGCGCTGACGGGGATGCAGCAAGAAGCATGAGTGAACACGCAGAGGCGCGCGACTAACTTACCGAGACCCAAAATGACTTGTTGATTCGGTCGCTTCTCAGCATTTTTAACACTACCTGTGAGACTTTGCGCCTCGTGTGTAGCAAGCTGAACATGCCCCAACCGATACTGGAAACTGATTTGTGACTGCCACGTCCTTCTCTCGGTTCTTGATGCCCGTATCTGGACCAGGCACATGAATCGTGTTGGGCAGATGCTGGGCATCCAACTTGGGAACTCGACAGGCGCCATCTTCACTTGCACCTTGGCGCAGCTCATGGGAATCAGCAGTTTAGACTCTAGACCCGCACCTCCGGATCGACAGTTGGCGGTGTGCCACCCTACCCCCGCATGTGCAACACACAGGAAGTAAAGGACCTCGGCCTGCAAGTTGCGCAGCCGAAACCGGCAAGCGAGGCTTTGAAACCACCTAGGGTGGTATGCCTTAAACTTAAGTCAAAAGCAAACTTTGAACGCGACTGGCATTCAGAACATCCATAGCAGCAAGAGGAATCTAGGGACAGGAGCTTCCAGCAAGCGCTACAGAGAAGCATAGTTTTTTCAAAAGAGCCAGTATCGGCAGCAAGCCCTGAATGCCTAAGCTTAAATCCTAAACCCAAAGATCCGAAAACCTACTCCGTTCAAACACTTAACAACCCTAGTAACTACACATAAGGAACAAGCAATGTAGACACCGAGGCCTCATCAGTATCGGCATGAGCTTCTTCGGATCCTGGGTGCTGGCAACCCGGCGCAAAGCTCCCAAAACCTCTTCAGGTTTAAGGGTTTCAAGGCTTAGGGCAAGTTGGGTGTAGGGAGGTACGGTTTTCGGTTGAGCGCTCAAGATTTAGAGTAGAGTAGAGTTTTCGGGTTTAGCGTTTCCGGCTCGAGTCAAGAACTCAGACTGAGGATGTTGGAGGTTTCAGGCCTGTGGAAACGGCTTTACGGCTTCATGATTGTGCTGGGTCCGAGTTTTGGACTCAAGGTTGTTTGTTGCGAGTGGGGCTAAGCCTAAGCCTTTGTCAAGAGCATCGATAAAGCATGCATGAGCTTTCAACGACTCAGCAGGCTTTGTCAAACATGTCCGGGCCTTGGTGGACCCGGTGCTGCGTGTTTCGTACACCAGCCAGCACAGGCCTCGCGAAGGATCCTAGTTATGTGGTTTGGACCTCTTGCCCCATCCATTCAGAGATATATCTACCTGTCTGTGTGATCCATCTTTCAGGGCTTTATTGCTCCGGGTTTAGAGCTTAGTAAGGCTTCGTAGCTTCGGACTTCGGGGTTATTGTAGGGGCTTGGGAGTTTCGGGCTGAGGGCTCAGGTCTGAAAGCAGGAACCCAGAAGTTTGAGCCGCAAATCCTGTTTGCAAAAAATAAACCGACTACTAAACCTTGCATGAAGTGACCCACTCGGTAGCAACATCTACTTATGAGTTGTCGCTACAGCCACTTTTCCAAATTCAAACTATTTGGGAACGGGCTGGGTTTTTTTTCCGCCCC